CATCTTCTCGCGCAGCTCGGCACGGCGCTCCTCGAAGCAGATGCGGCAACAGCGAGGTGTGTATTTGAGCCGCACGCCCCAGTAGCTCAGCTCCTCCAGGAAGCTACGGGGGCACAGCTCATCCCGCACACGCAGCACCCCCGAGGCATAGAAGTTGTACACCAGCTGGAAGACGGCCGGGTCCCGGTCAAAGAAATACTCATCTACCTGGGCAGCATAGTCATCGCACAGGCCCAGCTGGCAGCGACGGTCAGTGGAGGTAGCCAGGCGGCCCAGGCGGGTCTTGGGATAGATAGCCACTGCCTGGTAGGTGAGGCGGTAGCTTTGGCCACCAACGTTGATGTTCAGCACAGATGAAGTGGAAGCCGTGGCTGGGGCTCCAGATGAAAGGGCAGGAGAGCAAGGAATAGATGACGAGGGCTTGGTTTCGCCCTCAAATGTGTCTCCGATTGGCCATTTTCCTTGTTCTTTTTCTTCCTCTTCCTCATCTTCATCATCCACATAATAGTTGTAATTCCCCTCAGGTCCCAGGAGCAGTAGGGGCTGGGAGTTTAATGGAGCGGTAGCAGAAAAGCCACTCTGCTTGTCTGCATGCGTGCCTTCATTATCCTTCCCCTTGTCAGGCTGTGGCAGGACATTTGGTGCTTCCCTGTCTCTGCCTTTATGTTTTAGGAAAGGAAATTGTCGCTGCATGTTAAACTGGAACATACTATTTTTCCTTACTCCTCTCCCTTCTTTGCATTCACCTGATCAAGGAATTAACACCAGTCCTTTCCAACACTACAAAGTCTGACAATCCTGTTTTCTTCCCTCTTTATCTCAGTAGTATCATGCACAGCAGCAGTTCTGCATTTTTCTCCCTGCCAGCCACCACTCCAGTTGTTGTGAAAGCTCCGTGTGGGATATAGACACATGAAGACTGCTGTTGACCGTTTTAATCTTGCTGACAGGGAAGATCTGAGTGCTTAGAGAAGGGGATTTAAGGGCTATTATCCCGTTCCAGCCTCATCTCCCTCAGGCTGTGACGTGAACGATTATGGATCCATAAATCTATGAAAAATCAGTAGGGGAAGAAAAACCCTAAAGTTTTATTGCTAATAAAACCCATACATTTTCCTAATTCAAGTATATATGGATTAAGGAGAATCTCAAAATGAAAATGCATGAGGGACAGAGGTGGGAGAGAGGGAGAGAGAACATTACGCATTTCTTTCACCTACATGAGTAGAGCATCTCTTGGTTTTCCTTAATGGAAATAATGAATAATTTATATGCAGGCACTGGGTAGGTATTTACTTCAGTAGCTTTTAAAATGTTTTCCATAGGTGAGTAAATAAAATTTGTCCCATTTTATTCCCAGTTAGAATACCTCTATCTGGTTAAGGGCTGAGGAAAGTCGCAGTCTGTGCCTCAAGCATTGGCTGTGCTCTGGGGTTGCAGCTCCCATGTTCCCCTGGACCCAGTGGAAGCGAAGGGCAGGGGTGTAAAGGGGTTTCCAGCATGCTACTTCACTTCAAACTCTTCATGAAATGCTGAGAAACAGAATAAAGCCACTCTTGTTTCTCTTGCAGGGCATGTTTAATAGCATAAAGCCAGACTAGGTACCTAGCAGGGCAGGAGAGATGCTTTCTCTTTGTTTTGATGGAGGTGTCATCCTCAGCTGTGGTTGAGCTGGCACAAGCATCTCCAGTGACAATGAGGGTCCTGAAAGCCAGGTTACTTCCCCCTGTCACTGGGAGCACTTCAGCTGAGCTACAGAGCTCCTGTAGAGCAGAAGATACACACAATAAATGGGTGGCTGCTTCTTAGCCCCTGAGCTTCTTAACACCAGCTCATTATTCCATCTGTATCCAGGCTGGTGCAGGAAGGGACAAGACACTAGAGAATGGCTAGCTTTGGCAAAACCCTTGCTGGTCTGGAAAACCTTCCATCTGCAATCCTGTAGCCTGCCTTCCACTCACAGCTCCCTGCCCTTTCACACAAGCTGCTGGGACAGTGTATCCCAGAGCCCCTGCAGCAGTGGTTTTCCTTTGTTGTCCTCAAGCTCTTGTTCTCATGTTATTAATCTCATGGTCTTGCACATGAAAACCCTAATACTGTGGGTTTGGTGGTGTCCCATGTGAAGCAATTGCCATTGCCATGAGAATCAGGCCTTCTTTTTCCCTTTTTCCCTACCCCCGGTTGTAGCTTTTATATTTATATTTACTAAATTTTGACAAACAGGAAGACATTACAGGTGAGCATTTTGCAATGCTTTTGTTCTCAGGCTGCATCACACTGGGTGCATCACACTAAATAGTTCAAGGTTTCTTCAGGTCACACTGTTTAAGGCCTGGCAATCCATATTTAGCTGCACGTGAAAGTATTTTGCTTCATGAATTTGTCTCCACTGCCCGTTCTCTTTCTTGGTGCAAAAAAGGCAAAGCCCCTATTAATAGGGATTCTCAGTGCCTTATTACAGATACCAATCTGCTTTGCAGTTTTCTTTGAACATTAAACCATGCCATGGTGAGTCCTTTGTTAGCAACCTTAATGCAAATTAATGTCTGATTTCAAGGCTGTTTCTTTCTCCTAAGCAAACTAGTTAAGACATAAGAAAAAAAAAATAGTCTGCAATGCCACCATTTTACTGCTGAGAACTCCTGAATGTTTCTTAATCAAGATTCTGGCTAGCCTATAACCATATTCATCTTGCCAGCCTCCACTGTAGCATTTCATTTTGCTTCTTGTCAGGCTCTCTGGTCTCACTTCTGAGAAGTATCCAGTAAGGCTTATTGCTCACTATGCAAGAGATCGTTTCTCACACCATACTGCAGTAGCAGGGGGTTTTAGAGGGTGAACTTCATGACTGGCAGATGCCAACACCTCACGCACCTGGACTAAGAACTTGGACGTCACTACTAAGCAAAGCAAGAAAGATTGCTAGCTTCACTTCTGCTCAGACTAGTCGCTTTGACCTAGATATTCTTGAGAATGTAGCTCTCAAGCACCTGGTATACTCTGCTCAAACTTGCCTCTAACTGACAAAATAGGTAAAATAAATGTGCTTTATTTGTGTTCTTTACTTTGGAATGAAACTTGGTTCTGAGCTGCTAGACTCTCAGCCTACATAGATAAGAAAATGAAGTGAGCAGAAAAGACTTCCCCTTCCCCCCCCTGTATGGGGAGGAGCAGACCTCAGGCTGCTGAGGGAGCTAATTAGTAAGGTCCCCTGGGAATCTGCTTTTGAAGGTATTGGAGTCCATGAATGCTGGTTCCTTCTTAAAAGCATTCTCTTAAAAAAGCAGGAGCAGGCAATTCCAAAGTGTTGAAAGTCAAGCAAGTGGGGCAGAAGGTTGCCTTGGCTGAGCAGAGATCTTCTTCTAGAATTTAGGTGGAAAAGAAAAGTGTATGGACATTGGAAGCAAGGACAGGCGACACAGGAGGATCACAGAGATGCTGTTCACCACTGTAGGGAGAAAATTTGTGTGACCAAAGCTTGATTAGAATTCAATCTGTCCAGCACTGTGAAGAACAACAAAAAGAGCTTTTTAAAACATGTTAACAGCAAAAGAACGATCAGAGATAACATTGGTCCATTCCTTGATGAGTTTGGTCACCTCACAAATAGGGGTGTAGACAAAACAGAGATGTTTAATGCCTTCTTTGCCTCTGTCTTCAACACTGATGCTGGGTCCTGGAGCCCCTGGGTGCCCTGGGTTGGAAGACTGTGACTGGGGAAATGACAAGCTCCCAGCCAGCCCTGAACTTGTTTGTGACTTGCTACTCCAGCACATAAATCTGTGGGGCCTGATGGGATTCGTACCAGAGTGCTGAAACAGTTGTTATCGTGGGACCTCTCTCCATTATTTTTCAATGGTCTTGGGATTCTGCAGAGGTCCCAGCTGACTGGAAGCTGGCAAATGTTGTCCCAGTTTTCAGGAAGGGTAAGAAGGAAGAGTCTGGTAATTACAGGCCTATCAGTCTCACTACAGTGCCTGGTAAAACTATGGAGAAGGTTATTCTGGGAGTTACTGAAAAACATTTGAGAGACAATACAGTCATTGGTTATAGCCAGCATGGGTTCATGAGAGGAAAGTCCTGTTTAACCAACTTAATTTCCTTTTATGACAAAGTCACCCATCTACTTGACCAAGGAAAGAGAGCAGATATGTTGGTTTTTTTTATTTTAGCAAAGCTTTTGATACTGTGTCTCACAGTATCCCTCTGGACAAAATATCCAGCACATAGCTAGAGAAGTCCATAATACATTGGATGAGCAATTGGCTGAGGTGTTAGCCTCAAAGAGTTTTAGTAAATGGAGTTACATCAAGTTGGTGGCCAGTCACCAGTGGGGTTCCCCAGGGCTCAATTTTAGGGCCAGTGCTCTTTAACATTTTTATAAGCAATCTGGATGTAGGAATCAAATGTGCAGTAAGTACATTTGCTGATGATATTAAACTAGGAGGAGCTGTGGACTCCATCGAGGGTAGAGGGGACTTACAAAGAAATCTGCAATCACCAACCATATGACGTTTAACAAGAGCAAGCACAGGATTCTCCACCTGGGACAGGATAATCCTAGTTGTATATACAAACTGGAAGATGAGAGGCTGGAAAGCAGCCCCCCAGAAGGGGATCTGGGGGTTTGGGTTGATGGCAAGTTGAATATGAGTCAAAAGTGTGCCCTGGCAGCCAAAAAGGCCAACCAAGGCCTGGTGTCCGTCAAGCACAGAATAGCCGGCCCATCGAAGGAGGTGATTGTCCCACTTTACACTGCACTGGTAGAGCCCCACCTCAAGTACTGTGGGCAGCTTTGAGTCCACCAGTATAAGAAGCATGTAAAACTACTGGTGTGTCCAGAGGAGGACAACCAAGATGGTGAAAGGCCTCAAGGGCAAGACCTACAAGAAATGACTGAGGTCACTTGGTTTGCTCAGCTTGAAGAAGAAAAGGCTAAGGGGTGACCTTATTGGAGTCTACAACTTCTCAAGATGGGCAGCAGTGAGGGAGGTGCTGATATCCTCTCCCTGGCAACCAGTGATAGGACACAAGGAAATGGAATGAAGCTGCATCATGGGAAGTTCCGACTGGACATTAGGAAAAGGTTCTTCACCGAGAGGGTGCTTAGTCACTGGACCAGGCTCCCCAGGGAAGTGGTCTCAGCACCAAGCCTGTCACAGTTCAAGGAGCATCTGGACAATGCTCTTAGTCATATGATTTACTTTTAGGTAGTCCCGCAAGGAGCAGGGAGTTGGACTCAGTGATCCTTATTGGTCTCTTCCAACTTAAGATATTCTATGATTCTATGTGTAGAAGAATAATTGTGAAAATCTGCTGTCCAATCAACCAGACAGTGCTCTGGATAATGGCTTCCTGAGAACAGTATTTTCACAAGAGAAAACTATAATTAAAATCAAAGATGATCATGAGAAAATGAGTCTTTGCAAGTCTTCATCTTAAGGTGTGCTGACTTTTCCCAGGATAGGGGTCTGTATAACTTCAATGCTTTTTCACTGAGCAAATCATCTTCAGAGTTGAGTATGCTTGCTTTGTCTTGGTTAAAAAACAATGAGAACTTTTTAATTAAAATTACCTTAAAGAATTTATATGGCTCTGTATGGCCTCAGTGGATTAGTTCCTACCTCACTAGAGGAACTGTTCATAGATTAGTATTTTTTTTAAGGTCAGGAAAGGCCTGTAAGATCATCTATTCTGACCTACTTGAA